CTCGTCCCTCACCCCTCCCCTTGACTGCCTCCTCCCCATTTTTCACAGGGCAGCTGAGCAGTCTTTCTGCCATCACTGACCCTCTGCTGGGTCAGGCACCTGCTCTGAGCTTTCTGCTCTCCTGGTACCCTGGATGGTGCCCGTTAGTTGCCTTGTCGGTGCCCCCCCCATGAAACTTGAGTTCCAGGAGGCCTATATCTCAGTCTGGGTCACTGCTAAATCCCCAGTGTCAGGCACAGGGCCTGTGCTCAGGAAATGTTGAATGAAGGAAGGAATTAGCAGAGTGAAAGGGGGAAGGGTCAGGCCTCAGTGAGTGAGAGCAGAGGAGTGCATGACTAATCTTACACGAGCAGAAGCAAAAGATCCAGCCTCCAGGCCCACATTTCACAGGTGTGGGAAACTGAGGCACAGACAGATGACACATATGGCTAGTACCCCAGTCAGTCTGACTCCACTCCCTCCTCCTCTTCATGTTCCCGCTCTATAAGAAAACAAAACAAAACAAAACCCTGTGCCATTTTCATTCATTGATTCGGAGATTAATTCAACAAATGTTTTTTGAGTGCTGACTATATGCCAGTCCTGTTCTAGGGATAAAACGGTCCGAATGCAGCCCCTGTCCTGGGAGAGCTCTCAGGCTGGTGGGAAAACCAACACATAAGTGGGCCATTATAACACAGACTGGGTACGTCTGTGGAGGGGAAGCACTCCAATTTGGATGGGGGTAGTCAAGGAAGGCTTCCCAGAGGAGGTGGCACCCCAGCTGGAACTGAAGGAGGAGCAAGAGTCAGCTATCCACAGGCAGGGTATTCTAGGTGGAGGGGACAGCCTAAGGAAGGGCCTGGAGGTGAGAGAGGCACATGGCAGGATGTGCATGTATTTCAGCTAGGTTGGTGTGTATAGGGGCATACAGGATCAGGGAGGAATGAGGTGCCTCTGTCCCCTTGACCCCTTCAGGCCTCTTGGACCACCGGCTGGAGCCAGTGTTCAGGGGCTGGGCTGCCTGGTGGTTCTGTGGACCATGGCAAATCCATCTTGACACTGTCTCCAATCACATAATGCAGAGTTATTGGACAGGACCAAGAGCAAAGACACCAGGGCCTGACCTGGGAGGCGGGCAGGAGGAGGGGGTGCTGTGAATGTGTAGGGGCATAGGTGAAGACCCAAGGCTGAGCATTTTGTGGGGCATTCACCCGCCTGGAGGGGAGTGAGAAGCACCTAGAATACTCTGAGTTCTCCACCTATGCAGCTGCTTTTGAGCCTGCTGCTGCCTGAAATCCCACTATTAGCACATCATGGACTCACAGACCTTCAGAGATGGAGGGGCCTTTCACAATCTTCTAAAGCTCTGGTTGTCAGCTTTGGCTGCACCTTTGCAAACTACTGACCCACTGAGGAGAGGGCTGGAGAAAAGGGGAAAGCTGAAGCACCTGTAGCCTTTTTATTCACCCAGCTCCACTCCCCAGTACCTGGAGTGTCTCTGGGCCAGGCCCAGGGGGACATGGCAAGGAGGCTGGGAGGGGGCCCAGGGGGCCTCAGGGACTGACCCTTTGGGACCTACCCTCCATTTACAGCAGAGGAAACAGGTCCAGAGAGAAGAAACTTGCCCTCAAGTTCACACAGTCAATTAGTGGTCGGCTGAGTGTTCATAAATCAAGGTCAGTGGCTCTGGCCTTCGGGACCAGGTTCTGTCAATATGTGACCTTGGGCAAGTTACATGGCCTTCCTCCGCTGTAAGATGTGAATAGTAATCTAAAAGGAGATAGAATATGTGATAAAAGTAGCACTGAGCACTTGCTGGGCACATAGTAGGTGTCAAGTCATGGTGATGTATAATGGAAAAAAATCCCAAACTTTGGAAAGGCTGTGGTGGGGCCCACTGCCTTCTCCCCTGCCCATTCTCTCTCTCTTCCCAGGGTCTGGGTCACTGTCCCTCATCCTGTCCTTGGCTTGAGTTTGGTCTCCCCACCTGTCCACGTCCCGGGTCCACCCAGCAAGTTGCCTGGCAACCTGCCCTGACATCACCGCTCTGGTGGCTGGCCTGGAGAGGAAGCAGCTGGCAGCTGGATCACGTTTCCAGGTAAATCCCCACCCCCACCTCCAACTTGGGGAGGGAGGAGGGCTGCTGTGGAGAAGTAGAACGGGGCAAGGAGGCCTGGAGCCACTGGGAACTGTGCGTGTGTCAGCTGCCCAGAGGCCTGAAAGAGGGCCAGCTCCTGCCCTAGATAAGCGGGTGGGTGGCCTACTTGGGCCCTGGAGGTCCCCCGTGGGCACCTCTCCCAGACCCTGGATAGGAATGCATTGGCTCCTGAAAGTAGGCTAAGGGCCTACTATAATCAGCCCATCCCACTGCATACACTCATGAGGGTCTCCAGGGCCCTCCCAGCCTGGATGACCATAGCTGGCATTTATTGAGCACTTACTGTATTCTAAGCCCTTTACACACAATGATTGATTTTGTCCTCACAACAACCCTGTAAGGTAGGAATTATCATACCCCCCATTTCACAGACAAGAAACTGAGGCACAGAGCCGTGAAGATGGCCTAGACCAACAGCCAGCAAGGGCAGGGGTGGACTCCCACCCAGGTCCTGTGGGACTCCAGTTGTTACACGGGCATAGCCTGAGTGGGGTTCTGGCTGCTGCTTTGCATTGCAATGGGATCTTGAGGTTTATTCTGGAAAGTTGGCTCCCCAGCTTGCTGTGTGATGGACACATGGCAACAGAGGGAACTGCCCCTCCCAGGACTTAATTTCCCCATCTGTAATTGGAACTGCTAAATGAGCCACCCTTGGGCTATGACAACCTATGAAGCTTCTTAGAAAGTAAAAGGCAAGATGCAGTATAGTTTGATGGATTCCACATTTGGAACCCAGGTTGATGTGATACTGTGCCTTGGTTTCCCCATCTGTTAAGTGGGGGAGAATACCGGTGCCTGCCTCCCGTGGGCATGGTGAACACCCATGAGGCTAAGCTTGCAAAGAGCTCGGTACCATGCCGGGTATATAGTTAGTGCTCCACAGATATCAGCTATGATGCCAAAAACCCATCACTACCAAAAATAGGCCTTGAGAAAAAACATTCAGGACAGAATGTCACTTCATATCTCTTAACCTCAGTTTCTTCTCTAAGTTGGAAGTATAATAATAGTATCTATTCATGTCAGTTTTCTCATTCGTAAATAAGAGTGATAATAATGCTTACCTTACATGGTGGTTGTGATGATTAGGTAAAGTACTTTGCTACGTGTTGGCTACTGTTATTATTTTTGTGATTTTTTTTTAACAAATTCCTCATAGGGTTGTTTCCAAGATTAAATGAAACAATGCAGATAATGCATTTAGCACAATGCTTTGCCCCAAATACGTGCTCAATAAATGATATCCCTGGTTCCTCGACAAAGGGACTACAACTACCAGCATGCCTTGAGCCCCCAGTCGGGGCCTCTCCGCCCGGCGCCGGCGCACAGCATGCCGGGAGTTGCAGTCCTCGCGAAGCAGGTCCCGCCTTGTCCCAGCTTGGGGGAGGAGGTTGGAGAGCCGCCCTGCCGGCCTTTGAATTTTGCCGCGAAAAGCGCGCGTGGCAGCCCCCGGCCCCGCCCCCCACAGGACGCTGCGCCGCGTCACCCTGGTAACCGCCTCTTGGCCGCCGCTGATTGGGCCGGGCCGTGGGGGGCGGACGGGGGACGAGACTCGCGGCGGCTGCGGGCGCTAGCGCCTGTCAGTCGGACCGGAGCTGAGCAGCGGGCAGGATTGCCGGGCCGGTGGCTCGGCTGAGAGACTGCGCGCGCCGGCCGGGGGAGGTGGAGAGCCGGGCCCGTCGCCTGCGGGGCGCGGCGCGCGGCACCCGGGCCTGAGACGAGGTGA